ATGAAACAGAACCTGATTGTTGCAGTGAAAGATAACGGACAGCCCTCTCTGTCTGCCACCTGTTCCATGTATTTACTTATTTCTGATAACTTGGCTGAGGTGCCAGAACTGAAAGATATTTCTTATGATGAGAAGAACTCCAAACTGACTTCATATCTGATCATTGCACTGGTTTCTGTGTCCACCTTCTTTCTAACCTTCATCATCATCATACTTGGTGTGAGGTTTTGTCGCAGAAGAAAGCCCAGACTGTTGTTTGATGGAGCAGTTGCCATCCCCGGAGCTTATCTTCCTCCAAATTATGCAGATGTCGATGGCACAGGGACTTTACGCAGCGCTTACAATTATGACACATACCTGACAACAGGATCCAGAACCAGTGACTTTAAGTTTGTATCTTCTTACAATGACAACACGCTGCCTGCTGACCAGACTCTGAAGAAATGTTCAACAGATTTTTCTGCTATATTTGGAGACGCTGATGCCTCTCCCGAGGTAGGAACATTTCAGTGTTTTAAACTCCTTTTAAAGCAAAAATGTTGATCGTTTAACTATTTAGTTCCTATTTCACACACATTTTACAAGTTATAAATTCTTTAAACCCACAAAGCTCTGTGTTGTTAAAGAAGTATAATGGAAATGTCATATGGTGGGATGTAGCCTAATGGTTGTAGCAGCGTGATCCTGCTCATAAGAAGGCTGCATCTTCATGTTTTACTCCAGCAGGATTCAACCCTGGGTCCCTTAGCCAGACTCTTTTCCCCAGAATTTCCCCCCATTGATGTATATTGGCAAACAATCTGCTCAATTTGGAATAGGTTAAAAGTTGTAGAAACAGATTGCCAAGTATCAAGATCCCATAACAGAGGAAGATAACTTTTTGCATCAGTTAAATTTATTGACTCTGTGATTACGTAAATTGAATCCATTGATTTTCCAACATGCCTTAAAACTTTTGATTCAAAAAAGTGCTACATGAAATAGGTAAAGTTAATTGGAATCATAAGTATGGGATCTTTTTGTGATGCTAAAAAATATATACTTTTCACATTTCCAAGTTTTGTTTTTAGCCCAATGAAAAAAACTCTCCAGCCTTTGTGTGCATTTGTAATGTATTTTCCCCTTACTGCAATGATTTTGGTACATTAGTTAGATCTTAGTTCAGTTTACCAGTTAGAAACTGTATTTTGATGCCTATTTACATATTGAATATTTATGAAATAATGATATTATCTTTGGTGGTGAAGCATTTTTATGTTTATTTTTACAAAATAAATAGTTGCTATAAACAGATAAAAGCAGATTCTTTCTAGTGTTTCTCTTTTTATGGTCTATGTCAGACTGAATGAGTTCACAAAACAATTCTACTTTTACCTACTTAGTAGTAATTTAGTTTGTTAAAATGTTACTGCTCAGGATTCAATGGACCTCTGGTATTTTGGCACCTTATATTATTCCATGATGTGCACTGCATACTTAAAAAAAAAATATCTAAATTTAAGAATTACGTTTGGTTGCCTTTGATTAATTTTATTTTAAAGCAAAAAAAATTAGATTAATACAGAATATTACCGTAATTCAGAGGGGGATTAGATTTTGTTTTATGTTTTATTTTCTGTTTTTCATTCATCATTGCTATTCATATTTACAGACACGATGAATGTTTGTAGTGCTTTGCTGAAGTGAATCTCAAGAACTCTAATTTAAAAGATATTTTGAACTATTATTGCAAAGGAAATGCTTGCTGTTGCTAATTATGGGTTAATTTAATGAAACACGTCTGTTTACACACTTAGTCCTTTTCCTCAAGGAAAATAACGAACAACAACTGTGACATGATGTTCAGCCCTTCAAAGTCAATTTGTGTTTAAGTGATCATTTATAAAATTAATTCAACTTTTAACTATTTTGAATGTTTTATGTAAGGAGTAATTTTCAATTTGTTTTTACCCAATGGCGAAATTGAAATGTAATTGATTATTTTTTTTATCTGCGGTAAAGGCTAGGATTGATTTATTAAGGGTTTTATTTTTTATCCAATTTATTTATTATTATTATTAGTATTGTTGGAGCCAAATGCTTGATTTATGTTTGAATGTTTTATCCTTTCTAGTTCCCTATTTTTTGTCTGATTTATAACATATATGAACGTAAAATATTTTGGTTTGCAGTATGAATTGAGTTAACTATGAAATGATGAATTGATTAGTTGTATTTTTTGTTGCTGTACATAATTGACGCAGTGTCTCTCCTCGCCCTCGTCATGTTAACCCTCCTGTTATGTTCATTTGTTAGGAACAGCAATGCTGTTCCCGGGTCAGTTTGACCCGGTGCATGTTTAATTATCCAAAAGATGTCTGAAACCAAAAAAATCCTAACAAGCATTGTTAACATTTCATTACTAACTCCATTACTAACTATTCTATCAATATTTAGTGCAATGGTGTTCCTTACCTCTAACAATTATTATGATAATTCACTCGTTTTTCAAAAAAAAAACTGCATGTTAAAACTTTTTTTTAATGTTTCACCACTTTATTACTTTTGAAAGACCAACATATAAAACACAATAGTTTTACACAACATTGAAACTTAACATTTGAATTTTGTTTTACATACATGCACTATTTGTGAACCAGAAACGAACAAAATCTCAATACAACAATACAAGAAACAAGCATTTGCAATATAAACAAGGTGTAAGTACGTGTGTGTCTGTCTGTCTGTACATCTGCACAGCACACAAGTGACATGTCATCACACTGTGCTTTGTGCAAATGAATTTTGCACATTTTGCCCAGGTCATGCTTGTCTTGACATCGTCCGATGGCCTGCAGACCTGGCACCACCTCCTCTGTCTTTTCCCCTCAGCATCAACCTATAAACAAGAGAACCATGATTACTTTACTATGGTGTCTTTTTACTGATTCCAAGACACACACAACTCACTCTCATACACTTATACACCCACACACACACTTACTTACTTACCTCATGCATTGGTGTACTTAATGCAGTCCTCTCCTGGATCTCCCTCACCGTGGCTGCACCGGCGGGGATCCTTGGCAGGTGCTGCCTCCGTTGGATGTGCGGTGTCACAAGCGCCTTCCCCAGCTCCTCGAGAAAGATGCGCCTCTTGCTTTGACACATTCCAGTCAGGAAATATCGCCATCCAGATTATCAATGCATTGTCGGCTGATACAATGATAAAGTTATAAAAGATGACCAATGGCCAGCGCGCAATCATCCGTTTGGTGCTGTAGGACCCTGTCACTTTGTCTAAGTTGTCTACCCCCCTTTGGTGGCATTGTAATCAAGGATCACGCTTGGATTCTGTTCCTCTCTTTTGCTGATTTTAGCATTTTTGTGCAGAGTGCTCATGAGCACAACATTTTTTGCCTTTTTGGGGCAGTAAGACACTAGGGCAGTGGGGTCTGTGAAGGCAAACAATCTCCCAAACATGGGAGATTGAGGGGCCCGGTCCTTGATTACCAGCAGCTCAGCAGGGAGTTCAGCCCTCTTCTTTCGGACAGTTCCGACCATTGTGAGCTTTCTCTTTAGAAGCTCCTGACCCAAGTTGTAGTTTGTAAAAAATTTGTCACCGATTATGTTCTGTCCCCTGAGACCCTGTGCCATGTCGAGCACGACTCTTGTGCCCTGATTCCTCTATGGGGCTCCCGCAAGAACTCAAATGGTTCTTGTCAAAAATATTAACACCTGCACCTGTGTGTGTGTGTGTGTGTGTGTGCGCGTGGCCATGTCTTTAATACCTGGTGGGGACAATTTCCTAGGAATATGCTACATTTTGGGGACTCATAGGTACTTGTGGGGACCAACAACCGGTCCCCATAAGGAAAGTTTCTCTTCTTAGGGTGGGGGTTAGGTTTAGGACTAAGGTGTGAATTGAGTTTAGGTTAGGTTTAGGGATAGGTATGTGTCGGTAATGGTTAGGGTTAGGGCAAGGGTCATGGTTAGGCCATATAAATTAGTGGGAAATGAATGGCAGTCAATGGAAGGTCCCCACAAGGATATTGTGACACAACGTGTGTGTGTGTGTGTGTGTGTGTGTGTGTGTGAGATTGGGGGGAAACATGTCTCACAGTTGCAAAGAAAGAAATAGTCTGACATTTCTGACACCCTTTTACCTCCAGTTTGACTGCTGGGTCAAATTGACCCGAACAGTATCTATGTGATATAAACATGCAGGGGGTGGTTGCAAATATGTGAGATGAACCATTTTCATATTATAAGTTGATTACACTATTTTAGGCAAGCAGAAGAAGTTTCATACTGAAAAAATACTTTTAACTATTTTTCCTAGATCTTCAAACTTTAAAACGGGTCAATTTGACCCGTAACATAACAGGAGGGTTAAACGGGTGATTGCAGCACCTGGAATATATTGGAGTTGGCTATATTGGCCGGGGAGCTCTTGGGTTCAGGCACAGAGGCATAGAGTTTTTGACTGCTGCTGATTGTTATTTTTTTTCGAGTGGCAAAAAAGAAAGAAATGAAACGATATGATCCGTCTGTCACGTCATACTGCTGTAAGAAAATCTGTTTCTGGACAGTGAAGCTTCTTGAACAAGAGGAGAAAGGCGTATTGGATTATATAATCACTTTAAAAACATTTGACAGCGCTGGAAGGCGTCGAACATGGATACTTCTGAGTCGAGCGCTACAGGCATCTTTATTGGAAGGATTGCGCTAATAATTATGTGGCTTTCAGCTTGATAATTACTCATGCCTATGCTTAACCACAGTTTATGATACTGATTTTTTTTTTTTTTTGGCGTAGTATGTATAATAGGGAATATTTAATACATTTTATCTGTAGTGATTTAATAATAGACTTTTTATTCATTCTTTTAATGAAGAGTTTGATTTTAGAATTGTTTTGTTTTCTTGGTAATTTTCAAAATCAACTCACGGAGTCGCTATTCGCTTGCAGATATAGCTTAGCTCTCCACCCTGTATAAAATCACATTCGTTCTGTAGAACCGAAGCTCCCATTGTTGCGGGAGCTCTGCTGGCCAACATTTTCTAAATATCCAGCTTGTCGCTGAAAGGAGATTTTCTGACTGTTTCTCTCTTCGGCTGAAACGATGGCCTTCAGCGGACAGTTCTTACTGAAATTTGTCTTCAGTATTATTTTTTACATAAGGGTCTCTGTTGCAGACCTGAGCTATTCCATTCAGGAGGAGATGAGGCCCGGTTCTATTGTTGGAAATATTGCTAAAGACCTCGGATTGGAAGTGATAAAAATCTCCACTCGGAAAGCTCGGATTGACACAGAGGACAGCAACCAGGATTACTGTGATCTTGATCTAAAGACGGGAAATTTCATCATCAAGAAAAGGATTGATAGAGAGGAGCTGTGCAGCGAGAAGGCTTCCTGCGTGTTGAAATATGAATTAGTCTTAGAGAGCCCATTGGAGCTTCACCGCATTTATCTGCTAATCCAGGATGTTAACGACAATATCCCGGTGTTTCTAAAAGAAACAGTAAATTTAGAAATAAGAGAATCTGCTGTTAAGGGAGCGCGATATCGTCTCAACGAAGCGCATGATGCAGACATCGGGCAGAATACGGTCAAACAATATAGTTTACAAAGAAATGAACATTTTGTGTTATCGGTTAGAGAAGATGCAGATGGATCTAAAAACATTGAGCTGGTTTTAGACAAAGAGTTAGATCGTGAAAAAAATAGCGATTTGAATTTTGCTCTTATTGCTGTCGATGGTGGGAATCCACAGAGATCAGGGACAACAAATATACACGTCACTGTTCTGGACGCTAATGATAATGCGCCCGTGTTTGATCAGGCCGTTTATAAAGCAAGTCTATATGAAAACTCACCCCTTAATACAGTCGCATTAACTGTTAGAGCGACAGATGCAGATGAGGGGGTTAATGGGGAGGTAACGTACGAATTTAGTCGAATCCCAGACAGAGCTAAAAGAATGTTTTCTCTAAACAACAAGACAGGAGAAATAAAAGTAATTGGAGGTCTAGATTATGAGAGTTATTCTAAGTATGAAATGCGCATTGATGCTAAAGATGGTTATGGACTTTCATCTGACTCTAAAGTAATTATTGAAATCACAGATGTGAACGACAACAGTCCTTTAATTCATGTGAAATCTCTGATGAACCCAGTAACAGAAAACATTCCGCTTGGTACTGAGGTAGGCATCGTTAATGTGCAGGACAGAGACTCTGGTGTTAATGGAGAGGTCCGGTGTTCTATTGAACAGAAGGTCCCTTTTAAATTGGTTCCTTCCATTAAAAACTATTATTCTCTGGTCACGACAGGACAACTGGATCGTGAATTAGTTTCTAATTATAACATTACAATCACGGCCACTGACGAGGGCTCTCCACCTCTGTCTTCCTTTAAAACTGTTCAGTTGTCCGTAAGTGATATGAATGACAACCCACCTGAGTTTGAGGAACAGTCCTACAGCGCATATGTGAGTGAAAATAACAAACCTGGATCCACTTTATGTGTCGTTTCGGCTCTAGATCCTGATTGGAGACAAAATGGTACAGTGATTTATTCTCTGTTACCTGGAGAGATAAACGGGGTCTCAGTTTCATCTTATTTATCTGTAAATGGAGACACGGGAGCCATTCATGCTTTAAGGTCGTTTGATTATGAACAGTACAGAAGTTTTAAAGTGCACATCATGGCCAGAGACAATGGTTCTCCTCCACTCAGCAGTAATGTGACTGTCAGTGTGTTCATATCGGATGTGAATGACAACTCTCCTCAGATTCTGTATCCCGCCCCGGAAGGAAGCTCCTTCATGACTGAGCTGGTCCCTAAAGCTGCACATGGAGGATCTCTGGTCTCCAAAGTCATAGCAGTGGATGCAGATTCTGGACAAAACGCCTGGCTGTCCTATCATATAGTCAAAGCCACTGATCCTGGACTTTTCAGCATTGATCTGCACAGTGGAGAGATCAGGACACAGCGGGACATTTTAGAATCTGACAGCATGAAACAGAACCTGATTGTTGCAGTGAAAGATAACGGACAGCCCTCTCTGTCTGCCACCTGTTCCATGTATTTACTTATTTCTGATAACTTGGCTGAGGTGCCAGAACTGAAAGATATTTCTTATGATGAGAAGAACTCCAAACTGACTTCATATCTGATCATTGCGCTGGTTTCTGTGTCCACCTTCTTTCTAACCTTCATCATCATCATACTTGGTGTGAGGTTTTGTCGCAGAAGAAAGCCCCGACTGTTGTTTGATGGAGCAGTTGCCATCCCCGGAGCTTATCTTCCTCCAAATTATGCAGATGTCGATGGCACAGGGACTTTACGCAGCGCTTACAATTATGACACATACCTGACAACAGGATCCAGAACCAGTGACTTTAAGTTTGTATCTTCTTACAATGACAACACGCTGCCTGCTGACCAGACACTGAAGAAATGTTCAACAGATTTTTCTGCTATATTTGGAGACGCTGATGCCTCTCCCGAGGTAGGAACATTTCAGTGTTTTAAACTCCTTTTAAAGCAAAAATGTTGATCGTTTAACTATTTAGTTCCTATTTCACACACATTTTACAAGTTATAAATTCTTTAAACCCACAAAGCTCTGTGTTGTTAAAGAAGTATAATGGAAATGTCATATGGTGGGATGTAGCCTAATGGTTTTAGCAGCGTGATCCTGCTCATAAGAAGGCTGCATCTTCATGTTTTACTCCAGCAGGATTCAATCCTTGGTCCCTTAGCCAGACTCTTTTCCCCAGAATTTCCCCCCATTGATGTATATTGGCAAACAATCTGCTCAATTTGGAATAGGTTAAAAGTTGTAGAAACAGATTGCCAAGTATCAAGATCCCATAACAGAGGAAGATAACCTTTTGCATCAGTTAAATTTATTGACTCTGTGATTACGTAAATTGAATCCATTGATTTTCCAACATGCCTTAAAACTTTTGATTCAAAAAAGTGCTACATGAAATAGGTAAAGTTAATTGGAATCATAAGTATGGGATCTTTTTGTGATGCTAAAAAATATATACTTTTCACATTTCCAAGTTTTGTTTTTAGCCCAATGAAAAAAACTCTCCAGCCTTTGTGTGCATTTGTAATGTATTTTCCCCTTACTGCAATGATTTTGGTAATTTAAGTTGGATTATATTTTACTTTTCCAGTTAATAACTGTTTTATGAAGCCTATTTCCATGTAAAATATTTGCACAATAATTATAACTTCTTTAGTGGTGAAGCATATTCTGTTGCGATATAAGTATTTCCTATAAAAAGATGAAAACAGATGGCTTCCAGTGTAGAGCAACAATATATTAAGCTGTGGATCCTGAAAACACTCCTGTAGATACAGTAGAAAGTAGCCACAACAAGAGGTGTCAAGTAACGAAGTGCAAATACTTTGTTACTGTACTTAAGTACACTTTTTAGGTATCTATACTTCACTTCATTACTTATTTTTCCTCCTACTTCTGACTTCTAATCATATATAAGAATTATGCTCTAATTTGTAGTTACCAATCTGTTGTGACTATATTTTAATTTGACAAACCGGATCTTCTCGCCGTTCTTTTTCCTGTTTGGTGCGATTGCAATTGTGGATCTTGACCTGGCTTGACCGGAGCAGAGCCCGCACATTTTGAGTATATTTGGCTCAACCTGCTGCTGTGAAGCAAGATTTTCCACCATGAACAGAATCAAAAATTAGTATGGATTCAGGCTCACGAATGAGCACCTTGATATGTGCTTGAGAATTGCTTTGTCGCCATTCAAACCCAGGTTTAAAGTCTTGCAGGGCAGCCTAAAGTCAACCGCTCCCATTAAGCCATAAAAAAACAAAAAAAAACAAACATTGAGTTCAGGTGTTTTGAAAAATATGTGAATCAGGACATTTTCTATATACCGAACTGAACGATTGATTTTCTGTACTTCAAAAAGCACTTTAGATTTTAAAATTGAAAATTTTTATATATACATTTTTATATATATATATCTTTTTGTTTAAAAATTAATTGTATAACATGAATGCATAAACACCTCATTTTATTTCAGCGTTAAATTCTGTTTAAAGTAACAGATCATTAAAAATGTCGCCTGACCTTTACTGGTTGATTTTTTTACCCCTAGTTTAATGTTTATAAATATTTATTTCATGTCATGTGCAGCATCCAATGCAGATCATTGGCGCCATCCACATCTAGTGAAAACTAGTGTCAGTGGATGAGTCATATAATGCAAACACACAATGGTTTGTTAAAGGAAATCATCAGAAGCAAGCAGGTGTTCTTCAAACTGCAAACGTGAATTGTCTATGCCATGCTACAATGTCGGATTCAGAAAAAGATGTTGAAATGTCTGAAAGAACAGACAAAGGTGAGAGCGTATCGGGAGATGGAGACGGAGACTAACAAGACCTCCCTCATCCTTGGCCCTATCTCAAAGAATTTTTTGAAATAGTCGAAAATTTGAGCTTTCAATTCATACAGTGACATCTGGCTGTTTATTTTAAAGGTTATGTTATACTTTTATACTTTAAGTGGATTTTCGAGCACATATTTTTTCACTTTTGTAAAAAGGTCAAGTTGATACTTCAACTTTTACCAGAGTGTTTTCAAACTGCAGTATCTATACTTGTACTTCAGTAACCAATGTGTGTACTTTTGACACCACTGGCCACAACTGATAAAGATGAGGGTTTAAACGGAGTGGTTACTTATCTGAAGTCATAAAGTATATCTGGAAACTGGTAAACAGATTTTTGCGCTAAATCACAAACAGGAGAAATATACGTTATTGGCCCTCTTGATTTTGAGGAAGAGTTTGTGTATGAAATACATATGGATGCTAAATATAGATATGGCCTTAGCTCTGATGCTGAACTCTCCTGAAAGGTGGTGGGTATTATTAACGTACAAGACAGAGACACGGAGGATAACCTAAAAGTGAGATGCTCCGACGAGCACAATGTTCCTTTTAAGTTAGTGCCGTCTCTTAAAAACTTTTATTATCTGGTGATCCATAGGGCAGCTGGACAGTGAACTAGTTTTAATTACAATATCACAATCATTGTCTCCTCAAAAACCCACCAGTTTTTGAGGAACAGTCCTATAGCACATATATTACTGAAAATACCAAATCCGGCTTACCTTTATGTTCAGTTTCTGCTTAAGACCCAGACTGGAGACAAAATGGTACAGTTGTTTATTGCCTGTTAACTGGTGTAGTAAATTGTGTCTTTGCTTCCTCCTACCTATCTCTTAATGGAGACGAAGGGGTGATCTACGCCGTAAGATCATATGACTATGAAAAGTTCAGGAGTTTTAAAGTTAATGTTATGGCCAGAGACAATGGTTCTCCTCCACTTAGATGGAGCAGATGCCATCCCTGGAGTTTATTTCCCTCCTAAATATGCAGATGATGATGCCGCAGGAACTATACAGAGCGTTTTTAATTTTGACACCTACATGATAACAGGATCTAGAACCAGTGTGTTGGAGCTATTTATTCTTTATTTCTTTATCCATTTGAATTGTTTTAATTCCTAAACTTATATATTTTTGTATTATTTACAGACTTTAATTATAGGTTAATTGTTGCATTTTGTGTATTTATTTTTTTGGTTTTATTATTTTTTCTTTATTTATTTTTATGTAAAACAGGAAGAAATGTGGGCTGTCCACTTTCTATAATTGTAGGAGCCTGGTAAGGACTAGCAGGCATTTGGGTTAGGGGCCTATGGGTTTTTAACCAGTGCAAGAGAGGTGATAGAGCAAGGAAAGTTTGAACTCTGTAATTTTGCAAAATATAGAAACATAAATTAACTGAACATCTACAAGTTTGGACTTCAACTTCTTTTGCCTGCGTCAAGAAAACATGACCCCAGTGCCTATAGTGGCTTATTGTAACTTTATTGGATGTTTGGTTTGATAAACAATTGCCACTACACAGTGATGATTTTAAGTTTATATCATCTTACAATGACAATACACTGCCTGCTGATCAGACTCTGAAGTAAAGTCCATCAGCCGGTCAGACAACGACTCCAATTTAGGCCCTTTTACTATTATTCATTTTGTTCCTGTTTATCTCAGATTTGTTTAAAATTAGATGTTCTTAAAGAATATCTATGTAGATAAATGATAATGCAAATAAACTGTTTAAAGAATATATTTTCTATGAAACTGGACAGCATTTCATTAAACCAACACTTCTAATATGTAATCTTTTACCATAACTTTTTTTTAATGGTCATAGTAGAAGAATTATCAACCATTAGTTTTATTTAACTCTGTGCTTTATGACCCATGAGTACAAAATTTTTTTTCTATTAGCGTACAATCATCTTACTGAGGAAATCGTAATCTTTATCAGACACTGTAACAATGCTGTCTATTTCACCTTTCACATCAGTTGATCTACTGTCTTTAAGGGGACAGAAAGCAGTTTGAATAAAAATATTTTTTTCATTTACGACTTCAGAGATGTTTTTTCTTCTTTTTTCTGTTAACTTTAAATCTTGTAAAGGTTCTATATGAGGAATAATTATACATTTGTTTTTACCTAATGGAAAATTTAAATTAGAGGTTTTTATTTTGTAAAAGGTAATGGCTGTAATTGATTCATCATTAACGTGTTATTTATTTATTTGTTTATTTATTATTTAGCACCATTTCGCTTTGGGCTTGATAATTCCGCGTCCGTGTGCCTAACAACGGATGTTTCTGATTATTTGTTTCTTGGCTTAGCATGTAAAACGGGGAACTTCAAATACGTTTTCTTAGTAGTGATTTAATAATAAATTTTTGATTCATTCTTTTAGTGCAGAGTTTAATTATGGAATGGTTTTATTTTGTTTTCTTGGTAATTTTCAAAATCAACTCACGGAGTCGCTATTCGCTTGCAGATATAGCTTAGCTCTACACCCTGTATAAAATCACATTCGTTCTGTAGAACCGAAGCTCCCATTGTTGCGGGAGCTCTGCTGGCCAACATTTTCTAAATATCCAGCTTGTCGCTGAAAGGAGATTTTCTGACTGTTTCTCTCTTCGGCTGAAACGATGGCCTTCAGCGGACAGTTCTTACTGAAATTTGTCTTCAGTATTATTTTTTACATAAGGGTCTCTGCTGCAGACCTGAGCTATTCAATTCAGGAGGAGATGAGGCCCGGTTCTATTGTTGGAAATATTGCTAAAGACCTCGGATTGGAAGTGATAAAAATCTCCACTCGGAAAGCTCGGATTGACACAGAGGACAGCAACCAGGATTACTGTGATCTTGATCTAAAGACGGGAAATTTCATCATCAAGAAAAGGATTGATAGAGAGGAGCTGTGCAGCGAGAAGGCTTCCTGCGTGTTGAAATATGAATTAGTCTTAGAGAGCCCATTGGAGCTTCACCGCATTTCTCTGCTAATCCAGGATGTTAACGACAATATCCCGGTGTTTCCAAAAGATACAGTAAAATTAGAAATAAGTGAAAATGCTGATAAGGGAGCGCGATATCGTCTCAACGAAGCGCATGATGCAGACATCGGGCA